CCCTCCCTCCATCCCTCCCTCCCTCCCTCCCTCCCTCCGGGTCTCACTCTGTTGCCCAGGCTGGAGTACAATGGTTCTCATAGCTCACTGAAGGCTTGAACTCCTGGGCTCAAGTGATCCTCCTGCTTCAGCCTCCCAAAGTGCTGGGATTACAGGCATGAGCCACTGCTCCTGGCCCCAAGTTTGTTCCATGTGAAAGACACAGTATCAAGGCAGCTGCGACGAGACATGTACCATGACCAAACTTGCCCATGGCAAATCCACAGTGAATTTAGAAACACATAGTAGGGCATATAGCTTCTATAAAGTACTTCAGATTTCTCGGAATAAATTCTATTCTGGGGAAATCTGGAATCTCCTAGTGTGAAATGCATCTAAACACTGACTCAGATTCCAGCTCAGGGAGGATGGGGCAGCATCAGGCAGTTCACATTGTGACCTGTGGAGAAGCATCAAGGATCCAACACCGCAGTCACTTCCAAACCCAAAGGCCATTGGGATAAAGGGTAGGATCTGGGTGAAAATGATGGAAGCAAGTGTTCTAGGCCGGGCTGGGTGGGAATCTTATGGAAGCAGATGTGGGCCACAGAATCAGAAAGGTATAAAGGGCTATGGGCAAAAGAGATAGAACTTTTAATTTTTCTTAATAATCTCTGCATCATTATTACACGGTATTTGGGCTTTTTAATATTTGTACACACATATGTGTGTACACATACACATGCACACAATAGTGCTGGTAACTACAGAAAATTTGGATTGTATTGACCAATATAACTGGAAAGATAATTATCTTTTAACATTTTCATTGTTTTCATGGTTACAAGAAAGTCTAAACTGCTGAAACATTAAAATTTTAACACAACTATATAGCTTGAGAAATAAAGATAGATCTACTCTAATCCCATCCCCAGAGGTAATCATTGTTAACAATCTGGTGTCTATTCTTTTTTCCAGAATTTTTTCCCTCTCTATCTGCTAATATAAAATGAATGTATATGCACACAAATGCACTTATCATTTTATGCAGGAATTAGACAAGGACATAATATTGCTCCATAATTTCTAAACAATAGGTCTGAATATCTAAAATAAAATTAGGAGTTTATTTTCTTTGGTAAGTTTTCTTTTCACATTTCTTTTAATGGAAACAAAATAAAAATATTAAAGGAAGTTAAGAAATGAAAATTAAAGTTCTAACTCTAGAATAAGCCTAATTAAAAAAAATCACATTTCTATAAAACCTTAATGAGGGGGGCAATTGGGTTTCATTAATAATAAATGATAATAGTAAGAGGGAACCTTTATTGAACTTTTATTTTGTGTCAGACCCTATTTTTTAAGCAATTTATAAGAATTAGTTAATTTATTATTTTTTTTGGAGACGAGGTCTGACTCTGTTGCCCAGCTAGAGTGCAGTGGTGGTCATAGCTCACTGCATCCTTGAACACCTGGGCTCAAGCAAGCCTCCTACCCCAGCCTACTTCATAGCTGGGACCACAGGTGTATGCCACTGTGACCGGCAGGAATTAATTTAATTAGTGATCAGGAAACCCAAAAGGCAGTGAGTTAATAGGCATTTATAGCAGTTTGAGAGTATTGACAGAGTAAATAATTAACAGTGTCACAAAGTCCAAGAAAGAGAACGTGATGATTGGCATATGCAGAGCATTTTAAGGCCAGTTGTCATAAATTGTGTAAACACGTTCTGTTCGGTAATAAATATTTAACTGAATCAGTGATAATAGCTTACAGATGTCATTTCATTAGTATTGATTATAAAAAACCAAATTTATGTTTTTAACGTCTCATTCTTAGTGTGGTGTTTCATTCATAATGATACAAAAACCCTTTTACAAACTTTGTTATAAAACTTTAAAAGTTTAATCTACGTTTAAAATACCTTACATAAAATCACTTTGAAAAATTGCCATGGTACATAAAGTAAGCTGGAATTGTATTTACAAACCATTCCCTTTGGAAAATAAAAATGTTGGCTGGAACTGATAACTCGACCAATATAAACCTGCAAGAAACAACGTAAACTATTTAAAGTCTAGGGTTGATTCTAGCATTGGTTCATTTTGTTTCTACATTTGCAACTTCAATGGAATGGAAATCAAAATTATATTCATGCTTTTCTTTCCTCCAGAGTGTGTGAAACTCTGCAAATTAACTCGGAAATGGATTCAGCCTATTTCCTGGACTGTCTGGCGAGTCCTTTTATGGAGGCTGTTCAGTTTAATAGACAGGACACATCTTTTGGGGTAAGCAAAATGGGGAAAGGAAGAAAAGGGCTGAGAGAGGGAGAAAGGACAGAAAATACGTGGGTGTCCTCTTACTGAGAGCTGTCAACGTCAGGCATAGGTTAGAGAGATTACACTGAAGAGTCTACTTTTCCAGGTACCTAGGCTATGGGCTTCTCTTTAGACATGAACAAATAAACACACATCTCCAGTCCTCAGGACCATGAATCATTTAGCGTGGAGTTGGCACAGGCTCAATGATGAGCACACCTTTTACTACGTTATTTCAAAATTCTGTATTTTACTCATCTTTTGTATTAAAATATTTAGAAGCTATTTCAAAACATAAAATAGTGATTACTGTGTGTCAAAAACGTAGCCACTTCTTGTAATCTTTGATATAAACTAATATGGTATAATTTATTTCCTTCTCTTTGCTGGGTTGTAATCTTAAAATTTTCTACAAAGGATGATCATATGAAAAACATTTATGAGGCAAAATAAAATCTCACTTTAAAGAAAAAACCTTAGACAGTGGTCCCTACTGAATATAAAACCACAAGCTTAACACATATACATATATATGTCAATATGTATATATATAAATATATATAATATATAAAAATATATAAGATATGTATAAAAAAGATATATTTTTAACCCTATAAGCCTCTCTCTTATTCTGTATTTTTAATAATTCCTTGTTTTTTGGGGTTTTTTTGAGACAGAGTCTCCCTTTGTCGCCCAGGCTAGAGTGAGTGCCGTGGGGTCAGCCTAGCTCACAGCAACCTCAAACTCCTGGGCTCAAGCGATCCTACTGCCTCAGCCTCCCGAGTAGCTGAGACTACAGGCATGTGCTACCATACCTGGCTAATTTTTTCTCTATATATTAGTTGGCCAATTAGTTTTCTTTCTATTTATAGTAGAGACGGGGTATTGCTCTTGCTCAGGCTGGTTTCAAACTCCTGACCTCCGCCTCAGCCCCCAGAGCGTTAGAATTACAGGCGTGAGCCACCGCGCCCAGCCAATTCCTGTGTTTGGTTCTTTTCAGAAGGAAGTTTGCAGGAATAATTAGACCTAGCCAGAGGAAAAGAGTTGCCATCGTGAGGCTAGCACCGTGTAGCAAATCCCCTCAACAACTTCACTCCAAAAATGCAGTTTCAAGTGGTCTGAAATGTGTGAAGTCATCTACAACTACTTTCCTTCCCAACAAAATACACCTGGATAATTTTGTTTAAGTGACAAAGGTCACAATTCCTTTTTCTTCCTTTTGGAAGTAGCCTTCATATTTTCCCCCAGGGTAATTCCAAGATAGATTTGGCATCTGCTGTATAATTTGCATATTCTTCATTTAGTTTGCATGCTTGGTGTAAGTCTTTGTATCACTTTAAATAACTGAGTAGACTGAATATGCATTTTTATGTTTTTATGGATATGCAAGATCCACATTTTAGCACCAATGCCTTCCCCTGTAATTTATACAGGGAGGGGTTCTTGGCTTCTTTTATCCGTGTATCACTAATTTTATGCCCGCCTATCTCGCCTGTGACTAAAAGGAAGGTGGTTGCTTGCTTTATCGCTGGGGCATTAGGTGTCCCGTTTCTTGGGGAGGAACTCTCTGCAAAGGTGACAATCGGTCCAGAACTTACTGGCTGGTCTCCAGTGATCTGGAAAATGTTCAAAGGCTAATTTCCAATGCAGACAGAATTGTTCTACCAGAAGGCTAAGTAAGAGCATGCATTTTGGTCTTTGGCCAATTAATTGGACTTGTAAAAATAGTAAATTTGCCCAGAAATGAACACTGAAGCTCTCTGAATCGTTCCATTTAGTTAATGAACAATACTGATGGCACCTTCCATAAACCAAGAACTTAGCTGACCTCAGCCGTATGCTAAGTGGTCTCTGCTCTTTCTCTTCTGTAATCCTCCCCATGTTAGTTTTGTTTTACAGGTGAGGAACTGAGACTTGAGCAGTTTCAGTGACTTGTCTGAAGTGACGTGAACAACTGGCCGGGTTCATTGAGAACTTGTCTGACTCCCAAGGCCCTGGCTTACTTGCCCTGTCATTGTAGTCCCTGTTCACACCTGGACAAGTGGCCTATTGATCAATTTCACATGTAATCAAATTAGAGCAAAGACTCTGATTCTCAGGACTCTATCAATCCAATGATTCCATTCTACTGGTCTGGTTTTTTACTAAATTAAATGTTCACACTGTCATGAGTATACCATCAATTTACTGAATACTGATTCTGTGCCCACTACTCTGCTGGGCAGCTTCATAAACCTTTTCTCATTTATTTGGAATAATAGCTCTGGAGGCGAACATTTTAATCTCCATGCCTCTAGTTAAGAACATTGATGCACAGTGAGGTAACCACCTGGCTAACTAGGGACAGCTATGTAATAACTAATATAGCCCACCATGTTGATCCACAGCAAGGTCTCCCTGGAGCCGATGGTGGTATTTGATGAAAACCAGTGTCCTAATTCACACTCACACTTTGTTCTTGACCAGCCAACCAGATTCCTTCCTTCAGCACGTGTTGGCTTAGTTCTTTTTAAAACAAACCACACCCAATAATTCTGGGTGGAGTTTTATGGGAAGTGACTAAAAGACACAAGTGGAAAGACTTGACTTTTCTCTTTGATCCTTCATTTAAAGTTTGCTAAGTATACGCGTGTTTCATTGTTGTTGTTGTGTGTATGTGTGTTTAAGGGACTGTACTGTTCTTTTAAGTCAGAGAATCTCAGAACAGTTTTGGACATGTGTGGGTTGGTAACTGCAAATTTCAAATTTTCTGTCTTGCCATTTTAAAAGAAAATCAATCTTACATTTTGCGAATACACTAAAATTAAAAACAAAGGTTCCTTTCACATTAAGGAGTAGGAAGTGGTTTGAAAATCTTGTGGCTTTTTAAAATCCTGACCTGAATGTATAGATCTACTGTGAAGATTGACGTTTGTTCCTGGAGAGCCTCAGAGAAATGAGGAAAAACCATTTATTCCATGAAACCCAATACAGTGCCGCTCATACGGTATGCACTCAGCAAATATGCTATCGAAGGCGTCTTCCCCTGGTTCAATCCAAAACATCTAATCCATACCTTGGGATAACGAAGCTTCAGCCATACGTTGTCAACCAACTCGCTGGAGGCCCCTTGAGCTATATGGTGAACACTGACCTGGCTGAAGTTGGGTTTGGCAGCCGAGTCCTCTGACGACAGGGAAGCTGAGCTTCTGGCTTCAGGGTCTGCCAGACCCACCAAAGCCCAGACTGACCTACTGCTTAGCTGAAAAGCCACTACCCTGCTTTTAAGGCGAAGGATGATTTTGTTGCCAGGTCATTTCTCTGTTTCCCTCTTTGGGCTGTTCTTAGTGGCTGATCATTTCTGCCACCAGAATGCACTTTCTTATTGCAACTGCCCAACCTTGCGGGTTCAGCTCCTCCAGAAGCCTCCAGTAATTCCTTAACCCCACGTGGCTCTCCTACACAGGAAGCCCACCAGCAGCTAATTTTCATGTATTATTTTTTGCCTTATGTCTTGTCTTTTCATCTAGATTGGCTTTCCCAGGGGCAGGCATGCTGCCTTATACTTCTGTGTACCACAGTCCTGAGAATATGGCAAATGTACAAAGTTTTATAACTTTAGAAAGTTGCAGAAGTATAGTATTCACTCATAGGCCAAGAATCCCAGAGACCCCTGTGCTAGAGCAAATTAGGAGTTGTAAGAAATGTGTCTCACACAAGGAGATTATCTTCTTCTTCTTTTTTTCCCCCAAATATCTCTGCAAATCAATTAAGTGAATTGAGTCTTTTTTTTTTATTTCCCATCTTTTACAAGGGAAAAAAATCAAACAAGAAGTAGCCTTGTATAATCCTCTTCCAGGCTAAGTAACCCAGAAGTCTCATCCTGTAGGAATTTGTATTTATTTTATTTGTATCTTCTTTAAATAAAAGCAACCACTTTAGACATTTAAAATAAACTTCAAATTTAAATTGCATTTAGACTTGAAAGCTAGTTCTATGTCTATTAGTTTTTAAAATTTTCATAGTTTTTGTCCATGTATATTCTTTAAAAAAATTTTTTAATATTGAGATATAATTTACATACAGTGAGTGAGTGAATTTAGTGTATAGTTTTGAGTTTGACAAACACAGGCATTCTAGTAACCACCGCCACAACTAAGATACAGAACACTTCCATTACCACCCCACCAACTTCTCCCAGCCTTTTACAGTCAGTCCCTTCTCTCAGCCCGAAACAACCACTAATCAGCATTCTGTTCCTATGGTTTTGCCTTTTCCAGAATGTTCTACATAGAATCGTGCAGCATGTAGCTTTTTGAGTCTGTCTCCTTTCGCTTAGCATATTGCATTTAGATTCATCCATGTTGTTGCATGCATTGGGAGTTTATTCTTTTTTATTGCTGAGCATGCATATTCTTTAATGGGTTATTGGAATCTTGGTTTTACAGGATCTGCTGGGAACCCGGATCACTATTGATGACCTGTGTATGATCATGACCGATGTCTCCCTGGGTTCGCCCTATGACAGATACGCAGTGGCTACGCAGCTAGTGGCTGACAAGCACAGCATGCCCTGCCGGGACTCTAGTTACAGGAAATACGTGGAGGTCCTGGCTGACCCCTCCTGGGAAGGCCCTGCTGCAGAAGGAGGTAAAGAATTGCTTGGCGACACTTGGAATTTGCATTTGAGGGTTGAAAAATGTGAGCATGGGCCACCAGCCTTAAACATTCTTGGAACGTAAATTCCGAACATGGAATTCTGCACAGGGGGGAATTAGCAAGGAGGAGGTAAATGCCCTTGAACAAGTGGCAAGGGGGTGCAGGACATCACTAGTAACTCTCCTTGCAAAGGAATGACAGAAACTCTCCAGGGTCAAGAGAGATGCCTCACAGTGCTTCTCAGAAGTGTGCTGTTATCATTTAACAAAATACTGAAACAAGAGCTATCAAAAGCAAAAACGTACTCTATCTGCAGTTCCTAGTAGGGATTCTCATTCTTGGGTAGACCTGATAATCACCCAGGGAGTTTTTTTAACAACGCCCAATGCCCTGCCCTATGCCAGAGGGTTAGTATTTATCAGAATTTAAAATCCCCCTAGAAGTAGTTATTTACATTTTCTTCTATGCTATTTTTTTTTTTTGCCTAGTACCCCCCTGGGATGAATTAGAGCCCAGGTAGACTAGAAGAGTCCCTGTGCCTTTCCTGAAAGTGAAGGAACAAAAGTGTAGGCAGGGCCTACACTATCCCACCACTGATGTTTAATTCACTTAGGGGAAGTACGGGAGACAGGACCCAAGAGGGTGTTTGGGCAGGAAAGAGTGGGAAGGCCACAACTGCTGCCAGTGTGCAGAAGGAATAGGCTCAAGCGAGAGAAGTCTTACAGGGGGTGAAGTTTAAACTGTAAAGTCTGTTTGTCTCTCCTGCTAGACTGTCAGCGATCTGAAGCCAAAGACTGTGGCCCGTTCATTTTTATATCTCTAGTGTTAGGGATCACGCCTGGTGCAAATAGGGGCTCACAAACGTTGGTGGAGATATTGAAGGATTGATAGCCTCGAATGAAAGCATTGTCTATTAAAAAGAAGCTTCAATGTCTGATTACTGATTCTTTGATTTGTCCATTTATGTTTAGCACTAGTGTCTCATAGTGAAGGGCAATTAAATAATTCAAATGTGGTAGACACCATTAGAATGTAACTCATATTTTTATGGAGTTAGGTATACCTGCAGGTATATAATTATGAGTAATAAATGCATGCTTCGGGTTTTGTATATATATATATATGTACATATATACATATTTATAGGTGTATGTATATGTGTGTATGTATATATATATATACACACACACGAAACCCAGCCCATAGGCTGAGCAGTAGTTTTTTTTCTAAACCTGCATCATTATAGAGTAGTTTGATTGCACAACCCTATCAAATGTATAAATGTAAATATAAAAAGGTAATTAAGGAGAATGAAATTGACAGGAAAAAGAAGAGACACTTTAGCCTTCCTATTATAGTTGATACATACCAAACCTTCCAAATAAATGCCTTGCATAGGTCAGAGCTAGAAAATTTCTTGAGATTATGGCTCCAGGATGTATGGACTTGGAAAATCCCAAATTGATTCCCAAGACATGTTTTTAATTTTGGGGACCTGGATTTCCCCAGAATGTAACAACTCCTTTTTTGCTTCTCTTCCATGGTTGCTGCCCGCTCTTGGTGGGATTATTAGAATGGCCTCCTGCCCCACCTGTGCCTCTGCTCTGACCTTTAGGCTTCTTCTAACTCAGCAGCTGTAGTGATTCCTAATGAACCAAGCAGATCTCTCCTGCCTCTGCTCAAAACGACGGTGCAATGATCACCATTCCCCTTAAAGGAAAAGCCACTGTCCTTATAATGCAGGCAAAGTCCCATCCAGTCTGACCTCCTTTCCACTCGCTCTGGGGCAGGCACAATGGCCTGTGATGTTCCAGGACGTGGTCTTCCTTACTCCCTTGCCTCCTTCAAATCTTTGCTTACACTCCCTTCTCAATGATACTCACTCTGTCCTTCCCACCTCAAGTTGTAATCTGCCCTTCTCCCCACTTCCAGGCACTCTGGATCTCTTTTTGCTATATTTTTTCCCTGCTTGCTAAGAGCTGTAAATCTTATGCAGATGCCTAGGTTTTTGATATAGTGGCTAGCCTTTAGATGAATCACGTTTCCAAACTGTTATTCGTGATTCTGATTCTTTGGTTTAGTTTCCAGCCAGGCACTGTGATAGCTGCCGGGGATGGGTGCTTTCGTAGGAACACGTGCAAGAAGGTTGGAGCAGCTCTGAAAATGAAACAGGACAATAGTAAGGGGAAATGGTAAGGGAAAAAAACTTCAGAAGAAGCAATCATTGAGTTCAGGTGGCAGGATCAGCAGAAGTTTGCAAATCAGACAAGGAGAGGCCTGTTGTTCTAGGTTGATAAGAGCAGAAGTAGAAAAGACACAGAGATGTGGAGCCACCCTGGGGCTAGACCACAGGGTGAGGTGTAGCTCCAGAGACGAGTGTGGGGGTGGCATGGCCAGTCTCCGTGGCAGGAGGCAAGGTTGGACCAGCGGGAAGGACCAAGTCCTCAAGAGCCTTCATATGCTCTTAAGAAGTCTGGACTCGATCATACAGTCCATGGAAATCAGTGACTGGGGAAGGGAAGTTCATGTATGAGGTTTAGAATATTTTTCCAAATGCCTTGAGGGTATAGAGAGGACAGGAGATAACAAGGTGAGGAACCCAGTTTAGAGGCTGTTGTGACAGTTCATGTATGAAATGATGAGAGCATCACATCAGCAAGGGCAATGCCTGTGGGGACCAGAGAGCTGGGAAGTGACACTAGCAGGACTTAGTGGCCCACATATGTGAGAGAGTGAGAGGTACGGAGGACCCTGACTGGATCTCATTTCTTTCTGGTCTCGGTAGATGGATGAAAGAGGACACACAGTGGAAAAGACATTTAAGAGTAAGGAGTCTAGGCAGGGTGATATATCATTCGCTTTTAAATATGTAATTTTTAAGGTTCCAATGAAGATGTCTAGAGGGTATGGTTTGCAGGCAAGAGCGAGGTTGGGCTAGAGAAGAGATTTGGGAGTTAGCAGCTAGGTTTAGGGTCTTGGGGAGAAGAGGGTGGTTAGAACACCAACATGTGAAAGAGGGACAGAGAAAGGGGCTGAGTCTAAGTGAGGCATGAGGAAATCTGAGAGAGGAATCCTGGAAGCCAGGGGGAAGCTCAGGAGGAGGTCTTGGTGTGCAGCATCAAATGCTGCAGAAGCAGGAGGCGAATGTAAAGGTATCCATTGGAGACCTGATGGTGTGGAGAAGGTGACAAATGAGTGTATCAAGTGCACATCACTCACTCAAGAAACTTGGCGGTGAAAAAACAGAGATCCTGGAAAGAAGTCAACTGTGGAGGGAGGCAGAGAGCGTGGAACATGCTCCGGCAGAGGCTGGGAGTTGAGCCAGGGGAGTGGACAGACCCAGGTGCCGAGAGCAAGGGGAGGGGCTCCTTCAAGAGCATGTGGGGCCTTGGCAGCGTGCCTGACCTTAGGACTCAACTGAAGCTTGTTGGTGTGGTCATATTTGGACACGACTGAAAAACATTTACAAAAATGTGAGCTCCAAACTGTTCTCCTCGGGTGTGAGAAGTTTGTAAAATAGAATCCTTTAAAAATTTCAGGTCTTTTCCTGGTCACTAGTGAAATGTCATTACTCTTGACATAATCGATGTTTTGCTTTGTAGCCAGGCAGTGGTTGTATCAGACGTGCACTGAATTTGGCTTCTATCCAAGCTCAACTTCGAAGAACCAACCCTTCTCTGGATTCCCTGTGAGGTAAAGGATCTGCCTGTTGTTCTGTTTGCTGCTAGAGTACGTGATTGCAGGTCATGTCTGTTTCCAGGAAGGGTTATGTTGACCAGATCGGGCAAGGCTAAGTCAGTGAAAACTTAAGGGAGAAATCTTCCAAATGGAAGTTTGAGAAGTTATAATAAGATATACAAAATTAAAACTCAGTTTCTTAAACTCTCTCCATTTTGATATCAAATTCCAGAGGGTCTGAAACATCAATGATTCTCTACGATCTAAGCCAGGATATATACTACAATTCCCTGTCCCAATTGGTGGCATTACTGAGATACTTCCCTTAATATTGGTTTGCTAAAAATGTTCTTGAGGTATCAATTAAAAAACCCAATTCAGAAACATAGGCTACATTAAAGATGCAAATAAAATACAGGCTCTTATCAAGGAATGCAAGATGTCCATATATTTTACCTTGTAGATTAGGCAGGATTTGCTGGAGAGATGACACCAGGCCTCAAAACTCAACCTGGTCTGTTAGTGCTCTTTTGCTCTTATTTATTGGTTTGGTTCAGCCAAGCATAGTCCCTGCCTTCCAGGGAGTTCCCATTAGAAATTGTTAGAAGTTGTTAGATATGGAGGAGTTTTGAGCCATTGTAAGCCATTTCCTATTTCTTCCATTTGCCTTTTGTTTTTATTTTTTTTTGGTACGAGGAGCAAAGGACTATTGGGGGTGTGCGTGTGTGTGTGGGGTACATTGTATGTATGTGTGTATCTCTGACTATCTACCTACCTACCCTGTCTAATTTTGAGGGTAGAAACAACACAAAATTACCAAATGTTGCCCACATGAAGCCCATAGTTTCTCCTCTTCAGCTCCCCAAATGGATGCAGGGGTGTCCCAGTGAAGGGAGGAAAGCCCCCTGAACTCACCGAGTGGGTTCTTGGCTTCGTGCAGGAAAGAATTCAAGAGCGAGCCAACTAGCAACAGGAAAGTTTATTGAGAGACACACACAACAGATCCTGCTCCACAGAGGAGGGGTCCTCTTCCGGGCAAGAAGGGCTCCCTTTATGGGGCAATAGTAATGTTTTTAAATGTTCAACAACCACATTAGGAAACAGCCCTACATGGCCAGCATTGTCTTGTGGTCAGGCCATAAAGGTTAATCATAAACTGCTGTCACAGAAAGGTAAGTGCAAACACTTTGTAAGGCATCCAGCTTAGTAATTCAGGTGGTCCCAGGCCAACAACTTGCTAGTGACTTCCTTGCTCAGGGTGGTTAGGGTCTCTATAGGTCAAAATGGCTTCACTTAGGCTCTCTTGACTGTCCTTTTCTGCCTTATCCCTACATTAAAACTTCTCACCTCCCCAGTGAGGAGGAAGGTAGCCCTGGGTTAGCAAAGTCAAAGATACGGACCAGGTCACATGGTTGGGACTGGTGCCTTGGCCGAGGCATGAACAGCACAGCCCGTATTGGGGCAGACACCCCTTCATGTGTCTCTTTGTTCTGACCTGCTGGATGTGAGAAAGCCCAAAGTCCAGGCACCTGTTTCTCTTTTGTTTCCTTTGGATTCACTTCCCACCCAGCCCCACCCCAGGATTCAGGAGAGGAAGCTTCTCTCCTCCTTTGTTTCCTCCTTCAATTCCTCATTATCATGACATATTCTTGCAACTAACGATTGCTACTTGCCTTTAGACCTTATTTTCTTTTAACTCTTTTCCATTTCTTGCAACTTTTTGGAATACAGCTTAGCTGGAATATGCAAACTCTGGCTAAATATATCTTTATAAAACAAGTCCAAGAAGCCAAAAGGTCACTTTCGACTGAGAGGTAGACTGCATAAGAATAGCTCCCCCCCACACACGTTTTTTAAAGGAGGGTGACTAACACAATTCATTTAGAAAGTAATACTACATTTCTCAAATGCTAGCTCATTCAATATTCGGGATTTATCTTGACTTTAATTTGACTTCTTTGATGAAGAATGCATAACTTTCTCTACTTAGTCTGAATCCAACAGTCCTTATGTACATAGGAAATTGGGGTCTAGAGAACAGGGTCTCAGCACATGCTTTCATCTGAGTAAGAAAGAATATTGTGTATATAAACATTCTTGTGTAAATATATGCACAGGTCAAATGAAAAGCTATTTTGCAGTATTATAGTAACTTCAGGTATTTGGCAAGGAACTAATAATTTAGCACATTGAAGAAATATCTCCATGAGAAATAACCAATCTGAGAAAATTGGGTTTTAAATGATTCCTTTTTAAAATTGCAGACTTTTTTTGTAGCTATTTCAATAAACACAGAATATTAGGAGAAAACAAAGCACAAAAATTAATCTCGTAATCTTCCTTTTTATACTTCTCTTGAACTCCTCATTCCTGCTTCTCAGGATCAAAAGTGCATTTTTTTTTTTTTGCAGGTTTTTTCTTCAGCAGTGTTCAGATATCTTGGGCCCTGAGTTCAATGCCATTTCAGTAGCTCAGGCTGTTGAGGCCACCAATGAGTTCTACGGTGGCCTGAATGTGACAGGAAGCAAAATTGTCTTTGCTAATGGTTCCATTGACCCTTGGCATGCTCTGGGAGTAATAAAAGATATCAGCGAAGATTTGCTTGCTGTTTACATTGAAGGTAAACACAGTCATTAATATTCGTAGGGATTCAAAATGAACCGCTTTGTTAACTGTTGGGCTTAGAGACTTTCCTATAAGCAGTTTCAGATAATGTGATGTGAGTTCACATTATTTCAGGACTCTTGTTACTCATTAAAATAAGCTATTTTGTCTAGATAAGTTTGAATTCTAGGCAAAAGATGTGTCCAGTGATCTATCTACCTAGTTCTTAGTGCAATAGATTCATGGTGAATGCAAAGATTCCCCGGACTGAAAATTAATTTTGTTTGTTGGAAATTGCTAAAGTAAACTTTAAAATAATATGAATAATCCATTTTTGGTATTTGAGATGTTCAAGTGTTATCCCTTAGCAAAATAAAAATCTTCTGTTTATTATGTTAACATGGTATTTGCAAAGCTATCCACCTTGATTTTAAGCCTGAAGTCCACCCAAATCTTTGCAAATCAAAAGAAAAGTCAGGTGCATGTATGTGGGAGAGGCTCCTGTATATTTCTAGAACACTATTAGATCAAAGCAGATAAAATACATGCCCTGGTGAACTGGCTTCATCAACATTTGTCTCTAGAAGTCACATGAACTACCTGAGCCTTAGTTTTGTATTGTTTAACCTGTAAAACAAATAAAATAAAGGAAGTAAACATATTTAATTAAATGTATCTTAAAATTCAACAAAACTATAAATCAGCTTTTGCTCCTATTTCCAGTAGCTAATAACTTTCTATTTGTAACTTCCAGGGAATAAACTCATAGCCTGTGTTGAAGAATGAGACTATTGAAAACATTAATCTCTAAATTGATAAGATTAGGCATTTTCCTATAGCTTTCATTTATTTGTACCATTTGGTGATTAATAATAAGCAATAAATATTAGGCCAATTAAATAAGAATTTGTGGGAATTGTCCAGGACGTAGATATTTTTAAAAGCTCCCAGACGTGTTAATGTACAGCCAGGGTTAAGAAGACTTGCTGTGGAGGTATTCTGATCTTTCCTTTTCACATTTTAGGTGAAGCCCACTGTGCAAATCTCTATCCAGCCCAAAATAATGATTCAGTGGAACTAACTCATGCACGAGAAAAAATCTTTGAGTTTCTGCAAAAGTGGCTAACTAACACGAGTAATTGACGAGAAAGAAAAGCTCAATGGAATGCAAAATCTGCCCTCCATTTTATTCCTAGAATACAAAACCACTGCAAGAATGAAGTTAGAGCAAATGAAAGGACAATATTTTTTTTTTTTTTTTTTGAGACAGGGTCTCTGTCTCCCAGGCTAGAGTGCAGTGGTGTCATCATAGCTCACAGCAACCTCAACCTCCTGGGCTCTAGCAACCCTCCTGTCTCAGCCTCTCAAGTAGCTGGGACTACAGGCATGCGCCACCACCCTTGGCTAATTTTTCTGTGATTTTGTAGAGACAGGGTCTTGCTGTAGCTCAGGCTGGTCTCTAACTCCTGGCCTCAAGCAGTCCTCCTGGCCCAACCTTGCAAAGTGCTAGAATTACAGGGGTGAGCCACTGCACCCGGCCAAGGACAGTACTTTTAGATTTAAATTGTGTGTGTGTTTTATATTTTAAAGAGATTTCATCATGTTTTTTCTTTGTGATGTTTAGAAGCATTGAGCCATTCCAACATAGAAGTGAATTTATACTGCTGAATTACTGGTTGCTACAGAAGTAGATAGCATATAGACTGGATTTCCTAGGACAATGTCAATTTCATGTTTCTAATAAAGTCCATTCATAAAATGTACATATGTGATTTGATTGTCATTTTGTTAGCCATTTGTGTGTGTGTGTATGTATTTGTGTGTGTATATGTGTGTTTGGTTAGGAAAACAATTTGGGCCCAAGTGTCCCTTTGTACCTTTCTTACTCCAGGGAATTTGGAGACAGATCTCCTGCAACCACATCAGCTAATAGAAATGAATTCATAAAGCAAACTAGAATCCTTGGGAAACAGTGGATCCCAGTCCTCTTGGAGCTTGGGGAATGGCATAGCATGTCTGTCATTTACTCACAATAATACCAGTGGGAACATTTCATTAAAATTCTGTCCAGATCAGTTTATTTTCAGTTCTGAAAATATACTCAGTTTAAATTCTATGAATTTTAAAATTTTTTTGAAAAAGTTGGATTTATATAGCACATCTTTTTCTACAGGGAGCAATACTATTATTGTTAAGTCATATTTATTCAAAATTCAAGATTCAAGAGAAAGCCTTCTAAAACAATATAATTAAACACATTATGGGGGCATTTTGCAGCATCCCTTAAAGATGCATTTTGTTCAGGTAAATTTGTATCCTAAAAAGGATTCATTTGTAACCTCCATTTGAGCTGAGGCAGTCGTTCAATAGCTTACCGCTGCTTTCAAGGTAAAAGTGGACTTGTTCTTCTGTTTGCAGGGTTTTGCATAATCAACCCACTACCGGCTCCTCTGCCTTGTTTCAAACCGGCTTCTCTCTGTCTCTCCCTTCCAGACACACTGTCTTCTTCAGTCCCTCATACTCTTCGAGCTTCGCTGCCCTCAGGACTCTTGCCTGTGCTATTTTTACCACCTGGATGGTTTCTCCTGGCTTTTGTGACCTCATTAGCTCCTCTTCAACATTTGAGATCTCAGCTCAAATATCTCCTGCCCAGGGAAGCCTTACCTTACTTTCCTCACTAGATAAAATCTTAGATAAGCCAGGGTCCTAATTCCATGTACAGTCTTAGTTCCCTTTTGCCATGTGACCTCAGTAGTCATAGATCCAGGGATTAGAACGGGGCCATCTTCGAAGGGGAACATTATTCTGCCACAGGTTCCTAGAAAATGTAGGGTGATGCCCTCAGAGGAAACTTAAGCAGGGTCTTTTCTACTCCAGGAGAGATGTCACCCCCATTTCACTTTATTGCCACGCTTGACAACAGACTGCTTACAAACCTGCCTCATTTATTGTACACCGACATGTATTCTGAGAAGAAAATCTTAGAAGGACAGTGAGAGGGACAGATGGAACTTTACATAAGCTAATTGACTCTTGGACACAGCCTTTATTATTTGTAAAATATGGGGATGGAATTAGGCATTCTATAAAGTATGCTGCAGTCTAAATCTAACCACAAGACTTTATAAAGGTAAGGATTTAGGCACCTTAAGAGTTTTAAGCTACATTGTTTCTGAGAGCTGGAACCTTAAAACTGTGACACATCTCTATGACTTCTGTTTTGGTCTCACTCTTTCTGCAAATTGATTCACGGAGAAGTTTGATAAAATAAATGAGCCCAGTTGAAATCTCATTTTAAAAAATACTTTGATAAGCTTCCAATGAGCTAAGAAAGAATTTGGAAAACTTATGATACACAACATATTGAGCTTTTTAGTATCTACAGGATTTGGGGGGCGGGCTAATATTAATGGGGTCTTTCACATTTATCAATTCTCGGCTTAGCTCACAGGCCCTCCCTCCATTAAACCTCAGATAATAACAGGGATGCTCCCCCAGCAGGGCTCCCAGGGCACTGATTTTCTATCTCTCTTAGTACTCATCACGTTCTCAAGGTTAAGTGCCTTTTGCCCATTGCTCCATTCCAAAGAACCTGGAGGTTTTATTCCTCAATGTTTCTCCTACAGAGTCTTTGAACTTAAGAGGTGCTTAAGCAAGATTTGTTGGATGAGCACATTTATTCTAAGTGGTATTTTAGGGAAAGTTGCAGGTAATAAAGAGGCACTTAGTATCAACTCCTGGTAGTCAATGGAGGTCACTGCTAATGTTCAATAGCTCATCAATGTTCTCCAACGGAGAAAAGTAAATGACAGTATCTAGCAGCAGTTGATCAAGCCTGTAACTTAGTGGATTAAATAGTAGCCACTTTAAGGTCAAAAGGAAGGGGGCATTTCTTCTGTCAGTATCCTGGGTCATGATCATTATTTTATAAAATGATTTCTGTGCACAAACCACTGTTAATCAAGCTTTTCCCCACCTGGAGTTCCCCACCTTTGTTCCTTCTGTCTGAAATACTCCTCCCCCGAGATTTTTCCAGCTGGCTTCAGATTAGATGTCACGTTAGGTTTAGATCGAATGTCACTTTTTAAGAGACACTGATCCTCCCCACCCTATGTGAAGCAGCTCTGGTTCTCAGCATATTACGTGGTACACTGCTTTTAAAGTATTTTCTTCCCCTAATGCACAGCTGGGAGTGGGACCAAAAAAAAAAAAGGCTTCAGCACCCTGGATGTCAAAGGCAAACCATAAACTATTTCTACAACCGTCTAAATTCTGCCTGCCCTCCACATCCCCTCCTAGCGCTGCTCCTCCTCCCCAAGGCTGCCTTTCTCCTGCTTTCCTAGCAGCTGTGTGTGGAGCTGGACGCACAGTTTGCCTGGCCCAGGGCAGACTGAAAATGCAGGGCTCTTTGTTCAAAAATCTGGAAAAAGCCTTTCTTTTCTCCTGGGTCTCTCTCATCCCATCATGGTGTTTTTACTTTGCTATTTAGTGTCACAATCCCTCTGCACCGGGCTACTTGGTGGGGGGCAGTGTATGCCCTCCCAATGCACCTCAGCCCAAGACCTGTCCCCAGGAGGTGGGGACAGAGCAGGAGGTGGGACCCCCCTGAGTAGGGACTCGGGGCTTTGTGCAGCCCATTGGAATTCAGACAAAATCAAAGATAAAACTATTAAGCATTTCGAGACAGCGCCCGCAGAGCATTACAGCCCCAGCTCAGAGGGCCCTTCTGAGTGTGGAGCCTTGAGCCATCTGGTCCCTGGTCACCAAAGCCACCCAGACTCTGGGCTTAACACGGCTCTCAAGGTCTCTCTCCCCTCCCCTTCCCTCTTCTCTTCTCTCCTGCAGCACAACTGTGCACTCAGTACAACAGAGAACGGTGCAATAGCACATTTGAGCATCACTTTCAGCACTTTGAACTTCTCCTTTCTTCAAGACACTCCTCCAAGAATGGAAGAGGCTCTGAGTCTGGCAGGGAGAGAGGCAGGGGCCACATTCTCAGGCTGTGACGCTCACAGAGAGACGTTGCCTGAGACGGGGTTGCGGAGGGGCAGGGTTTCTCCAGCCTGGAGATGGCAACTCTGTCGCTGCAGCAAGAAAACTGTTGTTCAATTCCTGGGCACCCCTGCGGTCGTGGATTCCCGTTTGCAGGTTCTTTGGAAGCAACTGAAAACAATAACTCAGTTTATATTTCTATCACAGGGAATTTGTGTTTTATTTCCTCTTGGTTTGTGCAATAGTCTAAATTGTCAAACCTCCCAAAAAACTATTTTCAGTAGGACTTTTTATAGAATGTATAAAATTCTATAGAATGTATAAAATTCTGCCTTGTTTTCTCCTCTATCATAAAAATGCCTCGAATGGGCCCTGTTGGTGACACTAGGGACGAGACAGCTTCTTTCCAATGGCCCTCCGCTCTGGAGTAGATGAGGTCTTTTATTCTCTCCCTGGACCTTGTCGTATTTCTTCCTCTCGTGCAGGGAGTGTATTGGGGGGCGGGGACAGGTTTGGGGGGGGCAGAGCCCACTCCCACTGTAAAAGCTGCAAGTGCCAGATGCTGCCCTTTCCCTGGCAGCCGGGCTGGGGACATGACTCAACTTCAGCAAAACAGCTCTGTTATCCATTGGGACTGCGAATCTGGGGCTGGTAGTGGCAGGCCCAGAGTCGGGAAAGCACTCTCTGGGGAGGGTAGCAATGGTGTGGGCACCAATGTCCTGAGTCCAGGACAGCCGCAGGAGCTGAGCTGGGAGCTCTGCTCTCAGGTCTGGCCTTGCCTGTGGTCCTGGCCATTTTCCTCCCTTCGTTTCTATGCATCATCCAAGTCTCCCTTTCCAGCCTTATCAGCTATTCTGTGAGCACCTCAATATCTTTTTAAAAAATTCTCTCAGCTTCTACCCACAGTGGGCTTCTTACTCTTCCTTTAATATGCAAAGCCCCCTCCCACCCAGGGCTCTTCCCTTGGCTCTGTCCTCCCCGGGATGGCTCTCTGTCCCCCAACTTGTCCACGGGGCCCACTCCTTCACTCCTGAGTCTTTGCTTCATACCACTGTTGCAGTGAGATCTGCCCCGACCACATTCCATCTCCCTTAAAATTCACAAGCTAGACCTCCTCCACCGGGAAATTCTAATTGCCTTATGCTGCTTGACTTTTCATTTACCCAGAGCACTCACCAGTTTCTACCATACTATGTAACATTTACATATATTATGTTAAATAATGTGCAATTAAATATTTGTCCATTTTCGCCTGCAAACATGACAATTTCATATGGTTTAACTTAATAAAACATATTTGTCTTTTTTTAATTTTTCCCACTTGC